GCGCCTTCTTCATTCAACACGTGGAGGGTTACATTTCCGTCAAAGGCTGCGGCTAACATGGCTCTGAGGAACAAGTTCATTAAGGATGAAGGATTTATAACATACATTCCGAAGTACAAATTAACTCGTCAATTTGTTATAAGAAATATTCCTCTCGACTTATCCTTGGCTGAGCTAAAGACTGTAATCGAGGAAGAGAATCAAGATATTCTAATCTCGGACCTCTTCAGGCTGAAAAGAAGAGATCGCACCACTGGTATTTGGTCGGACTCGGAAGCGGTCTGTGTCCAGAAATTGGGTGAAGAATTGCCGGACCATATAAAGATCTATAGAACAATTGTTCATACATCACCGTTTCAAAGGTCGGTACGACTCTGTTTCAACTGCGGCCTATTTGGTCATCTGTCTAAATTTTGCGAAAAAAATCCCAGGTGTTTGCAATGTGGCAGCAAGGACCATGTTAGCTCTAAGGAGAGGCCTTGTTCCGAAACAAAGAAATGTATCAATTGCGAGGAAGAACACGCTACCAGTGATAGAAAATGCCTTAAATTTATGAAGAACCTCGAGATTGCAAAAGTTATGGCTGCTGACAACCTTCCCTTTATGGAGGCAAGGGCCTTAGTTCAGAAAAGGGAAAATAAAAATTGCCCGTTCTATGAGGATCGGCGGCCGCCAGTGTTTTCTTCAAGAAACTTCCCTCTTCTTCCTTCGAGGGGCGGCGTGTCTGCGTCAAACTTTGCGACAAGTCTACAATCCAGTTCGAGAGGAAGAACATTCGCTGCTAGCCTTATGAAGGTGGCTCCGGAGATCTCCTCCAAACTCTTGAAAATAATGGAAAAGGCGTCTACCATAAAGCAACTGGACCAACTGGTGACTAGGCTGGAGAAAACCATGAAGCTCCATGAGGAGACCATAAAAGAATAGAGTTTTGTCAAAAGTTTTCTCCTTTTTACCTTTTTACGCGTTAACGCCCTTTGTTATTATTATTACAGAATCTTTAATAGCTTAATCAGTTTGCTTTGCCTTAAAACTTCGCATTTTTATAATCCTAATAACTTTTTCATTTTTACATTTTTACTGAGTAGGTAAATTTTCTTTTTCTTTTCTTTTATAATTTCTTTACTTTTTCTTAATTTTCTCTTTCCGGGTTTTTCTCAATCCGTATTTTGAAATGGATAAATTTAGGTTGATACATTGGAATGCACATTCTTTGTTACAGCGTTTTCAAGAACTGGAAAGGCAGAGTACATTATTCGATTGCGCAGCAATTTCGGAAACATGGCTTAAACCACAATTCAATTTCATGTTGAGAGGGTTCGATACGGTGAGACGGGATAGGGTTATAGGTAGAGGTGGAGGGGTGGCTATTTTGGTTAGTCATGCCCTTAAATACAGAGAGATTTCTGTACTGGAGGACTGTGCAGGTAAAATAGAAGCATGTGCAATTGAGATTTTTTTCTCCGATTTTAATCTTAGGATTATATCTTGTTATAAACCCCCTCAGAGTGGTCAAATTGCTGAAAACGAGTGGATAAGATTTTTCACTCAATTTGACAACAATAATGGATCTAATAGATGTATGTTCGTAGGTGATTTCAACTCTCACAGCCCGGTGTGGGGGTCTTCGTTCCTTTGTCAATCGGGTAGGCTACTGTCGTCGGCAATCGAGGATACTGAACTCGTTCTAGTAAGTGACGGTGCTCCGTCCTTCATGGGCAACGCTTCGTGCGGCCCTTCAACCATCGATTTGGCGTTCTGTCATGCTTCTATCGCTCCTAGACTGAGATGTCAGACTTTGAATGATGCCTGGAGATCGGATCATTATCCGGTTTTGATTACGTCGTCAATGAACAGGGGCCCCTCCTCTTTTCCACGTAAGCGAACCAAATTATACAATAAGCACACAGATTGAAATCGTTTTAGCTCTATTATGGACAAAGATCTTAGAATCTTAATGTT